CCTTCCCCCAGTCTAGTCCCTGCGTCTCACCAAGTTGCTGTGTCCCCCCAGGTAGCTGTGTCTGGTCAGGTTCCCGTGTCTGGTCCAGTTGCTGCGTCGTGCTCCTGCCGGTCACTTGCCCACCCTACCGTTCTGTGGCACCACCGGATGGGGCAACCATCTCTCCGTCGTCTGCGCACTATGTCTCGTCAGCGTCTTGTCTTAGGCCTCCCACGTGTCTTGCCGTCGCTGCCGCCTTCGCTTGCACCACCATGCGGTCCCTGCGTCGAGGGTAGGCTGCGCGCCACCCCTCACTCCTCCTCCCTTCGTCCGGCCACCGAGCCTTTTGAGACGCTCCACTTGGACGTCTGGGGCCCCGCCTCTCGCCTTGGCCCTGAGCGTGAGCGTTTCTTTCTGGTGGTCGTTGACGACTACTCCCGCTACACCACAGTGTTCCCCCTTGCGAAGAAGTCTGAGGTGACTTCTACGCTGATCAGGTGGTTGCTTACCACTGAGGGCACTCGTGGTCGTCGAGTCAGCTGTCTTCACTCCGACCGTGGGGGTGAGTTTCGCTCCGGCATTCTCACTGGATTCTGTCGCGAGTAGGGCATTCGTCAGTCCTAGGTCGCTTCCAGAGTCCCCACAGCAGAATGGGGTTGCTGAGCGCCGCATAGGCTTGGTCATGGAGATCGCCCGCACCTCCTTGACTCACGCCCATGCCCCCCATTTTCTGTGGCCCTACGCGGTTAGGTACGCCGCTCACCAGCTGAACCTCTGGCCACGCGTCTCTCGGCCAGAGGTTTCACCGACTAGTCTTTGGACCGGGTCCCCTGGTGTTGTGTCGCGGTTTCGTGTCTGGGATTGCTTGGCTCTTGTTCGCGACACCTCCGCGGACAAGATCTCGCCTCGCGCCGTTCCCTGTGTCTTCCTTGGTTTCCCAGAGGACTCTGACTTCACCTTTTACCACCCTCCCCTTCACCGGTTCTTTGACTCCCGTGACGTCAGTTTCGACGAGTCCGTCCCCTACTACGTCAGGTACCCCTGCCGAGGTCTCCCGGTTCCTCCTCCCCCTCTCTTCCTGACTTCCGCTCCCCCTCCTGCTCCCCCAGTACAGCCTCCCCCCCCTGGTCCAGCCCCGTCAGGTGTGTCCCACGCTACCCCTCCCCCCTCGGTAGCCCCTCAGGTACAGCCTCCTTCCTCGCAGACCTCCTCGCAGCCTGCGGCAGACCCTGCGGGAGCCAGTGTTCGTGGCGAGGACCCTGTCGGTGCTAGCTCTGGGGGTGTTGGAGTTGGGGCTGAGCCCGAGGCTGCAGGAGACTCTCGTCTTCCGGGAGCTGGTGTAGGTGGTGCTGACTCTGGGGGTGCTACGTCTGGGGGTGCAGGTGCGCCCCCTTCGGGTCCTTGTGAGCCTGGCCGTGTTGCTGTTGGTGGTACTGCCTCTGGGGGTGGTGCGGCGGGTGCTTTGGAGGGTGGTCCTGGGGCTGCCGCAGCCCCGGACACTACTCCTCCCCCCCACCCCTACCCGACCCGGCACCAGGCTCGTGTTCGCCGTGCCCGTGAGGAGTAGCTGGAGTTAGAGAGAGAGGAGAGAGAGTTGCAGCGGCTGGAGGTGGAGCAGCAGAAGAAGCAGCGGCTGGAGGAGCAGCAGCAGCAGCAGCCGCGGGAGCAGCAGCAGCAGTCGCAGCTGTCGCAGCCGCACCAGGAGCAGCAACAGCTGCCACCTCCTCCTCCTGTCTCTGGTCTTCGGACCCTCGGTCTCCCCTCTCCCTCTCCTTCCTCCTCCCCCTCTCCTCCTGTCTACGGTCCCACGTTTCCTCCTCCTGACTCCTCCCATGCTGTTCTCCCTCTTTCTTCGACTCTGTTGTCTCCTCCTCCTTTGCCCGCCTGGCCCTCTCATTGCTCTCCTCGTGCTCGTCCCTCGTCCCCTGTCGCTCTCACTGACCTTCGTACTGCCCTGTTCCGTCCTAGTCCGCCTCGTTCGTCTCACTCTGTGCTTCCTTCTCCTCCTGAGTCGGCCTTCACTTCTTCCCTCTCTACTCCTATCACTGACTACTACCGCAGGTACCGACCTGTTCTCCCTCGTGTTCTCGCCTCTCTTGTTACGGACCCTCGTGCCTCTCTGTCCTGTGTCTTCGCCCTTACTGTCGCCGTCACTAAGTTCGCCACTACTCGCCGCCTTGACTACGCCACTTGTCTCGTGGCTGCTCCTCCTACCAATCCTCTCGCCGTCGGGGGTGAGTCTGCCCTTTGCTGTGACGCCCTAGAGGACAGGCAGTTAAAGCTGGAGTTCCTGGTAGCCGCTTCCCCTCATCTCTGTGCCATGCTGCTCTCCCCTGAGGGAGACCCCGACGTCCTTGACATACCGACTCCTTGCACTTACGCTGACGCAGTGTCAAGGCCTTGGGCCTCTCAGTGGAGAGCTGCCATGGACGCAGAGATGGCCTCCTACAGATTCACAGGCACCTACGTCGACGAGGTTCCCCCCCCCTGGGGCGAACGTAGTCGATGGCATGTGGATCTACAGGGTGAAGCGGCCACCGGGATCTCCTCCGATCTTCAAGGTGCGCTATGTGGCTAGAGGTTTTAGTCAGCGCGAGGGAGTTGACTTCTTTCAGACCTTCGCGCCTACCCCAAAGATGACCACTCTTTGGGTGTTACTATACGTAGCAACACAGAGAGACTACGAGTTACACTCTCTCGACTTCTCCACTGCTTTCCTTCAGGGTAGCCTACACGAGGAGGTCTGGCTGCGTCGTCCCTCTGCCTTCACTAGCACTTTCCCTCCTGGGACCCAGTGGAGGCTGAGGCGACCTGTCTACGGTCTCCGTCAGGCTCCTCGTGAGTGGCACGACACCCTTCGTTCTACCCTCACTGACCTTGGTTTCCAGCCGTCTTCTGCCGACCCGTCGCTGTTCGTCTGTCGTGGCTCCACACCTTTCTTTGTTTTGGTCTACGTCGACGACCTGGTTTTCGCCACTACTGACAGGGTTGCCCCGGCAGACGTGAAGTCCAAACTGTAGAAGAGACACACCTGCACTGACCTTGGTGAGCTGCGCCACTACCTTGGCCTGCAGATCACCAGGGACAGAGCCGCTCGCACCATTACACTCTCACAGTCACACATGGTGCAGCAGGTTCTTCAGCGGTTTGAGCTTCAGCACTCCACAATACAGCGCACACCTCTTGCTGTTGACCACAGACTTAATAGACCCTTTCCTGACGAGCAGTTTGAGTCTAGTGGTCCCTACGCAGAGCTGGTGGGCTGCCTCATGTACCTGATGACTTGTACTCGCCCGAACCTCGCCTTCCCTCTCAGCATCCTTGCTTGCTTTGTTGCACCAGGGAGACACCGTCCTGTTCACTGGACGGCAGCTGTGAGGGTGGCGAATTACCTAGCGACGACATCAGGCGTGGGGCTGGTTCTTGGAGGGCAGCAGTCTGTCGTACTTACTGGTCACTGTGACTCTTCTTACGCTGACGACGCTGAGACTCACAGGTCTACTCAGGGGTACTGTTTCAGCTTGGGTTCTGGAGCTGTTTCGTGGAGGTCCACGCGCTCCTCTTCGGTCTCGGCCTCTACTGCTAAGGCTGAGATCTACGCTGGTGCCATGGCGGCACAGGAGCTGCGTTGGTTGACCTTCTTGCTCACCGACCTTGGTGAGCGGCCGAGCTCTACACCGACCTTGTTCACTGACAACAAGGCGTCGATTCTCCTCTGTCGAGAGCCGCGACTAGAGAGCAGAGTGAAGCACATTAACGTCAGTTACTTTCTTCTGCGTGAGTTGCAGAGACGTGGACAGGCTCGCTTCGAGTTTGTGGAGTCCGAAGCCAACACTGCAGACATCTTCACCAAGGCGCTTCCGCCTTGTGACCACCAGAGGTGTTGTGTGCAGTTAGGTCTTGTGGACACAGGTTCTAGTCGTGTGTAGGCTTGAGTTCACTGTTTCCGTTGCTTGTACTCTTGCCATACACCTTTGTGAACTCTTGGACTGGCCTTGTGGCCCCTGTTGCTTGTGCTCAGATTGTGTGGTGACGTTGTGATCTACCCTGAGCTTTGTTTCTTTGTGACTGGTCTTGTGACCGTACACTTTTGGTTTTGCTTGACACCCCTCACTTAGGCTATGGGGGTGTGTCAAATGTTGTAGCCTGTAGTGAGGTTTGTCTTAGGGGGTACAAATGTTAGGGTTTGCTATATGTATCCCAACCCTCATCAATAACACAACACTTTCATTCCTGACACTTATCTCGTACACACAAATAGGTGTCTTATAATGAGGCTAGCCTATTTGTAAGAGACACCCGGATAATAGACAACCCCTGTCTACTATTCAACACTGTCTACTATCCGGGCGATGACGGTATAATTAATCTATCTTGCCCTCACATTATCACATACCAGCGCAAGGTGGTTCGACAGTTTATCATTAAACGCTTCCGCAATACAACATCTCTACCAGAGTTAGCCTTGGGCTTTTCTCAGCCCAACGCTATCACCTCAGTCATTTACATTCACTCTGACCTGAGGTCAACACTTCCGCTGCAATACTATCTGCGATCAACCGTGAGCAATCCTTCTCTAAGTCCCGTTTGGGATTGTAACATCTAGAAATACCGTACATGAGTAGTTGGTCTTTCAGTCATGCCTTGTTTTACGGTATATGTAGTACAATCCAAAGTAAACACGAGAAAGGGTGAACAAACATTGCACACTAATGTAGCAGCCTTACAGAAAGTCCAACTTCACCGTACGGTAAAACCTATCCAGAGGCCTGGTCTGAAGTCAAATACAGCAGAGTTCCATCGAGAAGAACTGGTACATCTTTGGTACAACATCCACTAAACGGGAACTGAAAAGGAACAGCGGCAGAGTTCAATCGGGGCTTGAACGCACGCGCTTGCTGAGGAGTGCTTACCCATAGGAGGCGGCCACACAAAGCTGCAATCAAGGATGCATCAAATGAGAAGCATTGGAGATTTTAGTTTCTACAGCACATGTCAACAGTGCATTGCAGTGCAAGCATTTAGATCAATACACCCTTCACAGTAGAGCAGCCCAAACTTACACCATCAATCTCGCGCGGAGAATCGCGGAAGGAGATCCAGGGGTTGAGCCTGCAGAGGTCCAAGACGGTGGCTCCATTGGCTGCTGCTACCTGCTTGAAGTCCACCACGCTGCCGATCCGTATCTCCTGTACACATCGCGGCCTCGCCTTGGCTGGGTCGCGCTCCACACACAGAGCGTGGAACGCAGGGAGGCGAGTGGGGCACCTAACATCGGGGTTGAGCTGCTGCAAGCTCTTCTCGGTGATGCTGAGAAACTGAGCCACGGACGAGCATGTGTCGGCCTGTGGAAGGGAAAGGAAAGGGGAAAATGGTAGGGAGGGGGTTTTAGAAGGAAAGAGGTGGTACGTGGTCGAGGGGCTGATCGAGGATGCGGCAATGAGGGGAAATAAGGGACTGAGTAGCACGTGGTCTTACCAGGTGAAGGATGGTCAGCGGGAAGGGTGAAGAGGAGGCACAGCACACGGCAGCACATGGTGCCAGTGGTGGCATCTCCTGGTGCCATAACAGATCTCAACATGCCGAACTCACAGGCTGGATGTAGTAGAACGCAGTGCAAGGTTGCAGAAGCTCACGCACAGCGAGCTCGCGACCCTGAGGAAGGAGAGCGGAGCAGTCGATATCCTGGAGAGGAAGGGTAATGAGAGAGGGGGAGGGTGAGGGAGAGAAAGACCGTAGAGCACAGGGAGAGAGGAGGGGGAGAGAGGGAGAGGGTGAGAAAATGGTGAGATGGAAAGCGGGAGAGGGTGAGAGAGGTGGAGGGGGTAAGAGACGGGGAGGAGGGAGAGAGGGCCTCGGAAACAAGAACGGCTCGACATGCTCAATAAGTGCGCAGAGACTTGCAAGAATTACTGCAGGCCTCACCTCATTCATGTCGGTGAACTGCTGCAGTGTGAGGCCATACATGGTGTACACGTCCTTGCACCTCCAGTTGCTGCCTGTGACTGTGATGGACGAAATGGCCTCCCAATTCTGATCTGCGCACATTAAAAGGGAAGGGTGAAGATGCCACGTACATGGTCAGCTATTGATGATAACCGCTCACGGCGTCGGCAACTCTTTTGATCCGAGGAAACACACACCGGGAGCTTCAATGTATAAACAAGTGTTTGCAGTATAGACTATTGCATGGAGAGTTGCGAGCAGAGGGAGAGGTTACCACAGTATTGGCCATGAGAGCGGTGGTTGGGCAGACAGACGCAGGTAAAGGCCTCGCCGCCGCGGTCGATGCACGTGCCCCCCAAACACCAGTTGACTCTGTCACTGCCACACACGCCCGCTCGCGGGGGGCACACACAAGGAGCAGAGGATGGCAGGCAGTGGAGTGGCAAGGAGGATACGATTGGGGGATCTGTGGGGCAGGAAAGGGCAGAGAAGACGAGGAGCATCGCTGCTGCCATGCCAGTAACTGAAGTGCTTTGATCAGGCAATGGTGCTCCCCAGGGGCACAAGCAATGCCAGCCCCAACATACTCCCCTCGCATGGTAACCAGATCGGTTTGGGCGAGAATGGATAGTGGCATGGCGATCACAATGCATTGGGCCTTACTGCTTGAACTCTCTGCATCAGGGTACTCAGAGGGGGCTTTGGTGTTGCTGGCAGGAGCTGTGGTGTTGCTGGCAGGAGCTGTGGTGTTGCTGGCAGGAGCTGTGGTGTTGCTGGCAGGAGCTGTGGTGTTGCTGGCAGGAGCTGTGGTGTTGCTGGCAGGAGCTGTGGTGTTGCTGGCAGGAGCTGTGGTGTTGCTGGCAGGAGCTGTGGTGTTGCTGGCAGGAGCTGTGGTGTTGCTGGCAGGAGCTGTGGTGTTGCTGGCAGGAGCTGTGGTGTTGCTGGCAGGAGCTGTGGTGTTGCTGGCAGGAGCTGTGGTGTTGCTGGCAGGAGCTGTGGTGTTGCTGGCAGGAGCTGTGGTGTTGCTGGCAGGAGCTGTGGTGTTGCTGGCAGGAGCTGTGGTGTTGCTGGCAGGAGCTGTGGTGTTGCTGGCAGGAGCTGTGGTGTTGCTGGCAGGAGCTGTGGTGTTGCTGGCAGGAGCTGTGGTGTTGCTGGCAGGAGCTGTGGTGTTGCTGGCAGGAGCTGTGGTGCTGCTGGCAGGAGCTGTGGTGTTGCTGGCAGGAGCTGTGGTGTTGCTGGCAGGAGCTGTGGTGTTGATGGCAGGAGCTGTGGTGTTGCTGGCAGGAGCTGTGGTGTTGCTGGCAGGAGCTGTGGTGTTGCTGGCAGGAGCTGTGGTGTTGCTGGCAGGAGCTGTGGTGTTGCTGGCAGGAGCTGTGGTGTTGCTGGGAGGAGCTGCGGTGTCGCTGGGAGGAGGTGTAGCGTATCGGGCACTCACGCAAAGCTGCAATGGAAGATGCACCGTTGCAATGGAACACACAGGAAGAAGGACAGGAATTATAAGAAGCTATGAATCATGCTGCACACATGTAGATGAGGGGATGCCTCAATCCTAGTTACAGAATGTAATGATTCACGGATAGAATATGCATCCACCAGTAATGCACAGCCAGCCAGTACTCCGTCATTTGCCTTGAACTCACACCATCAATGTCGCGCAGGGAATCGCGGAAGGAGATCCAGGGGTTGAGCCTGCAGAGGTCCACCATGGTGGCTCCATGGGATGCCGCCACTTGCTTGAAGTCCACCTCTCGGCCAATCTGTATCTCATTGTTACAACTCGGCCTGGCCTTGGCTGGGTCGCGCTCCACACAGAGAGAGCGGAAGGCAGGGAGGCGAGAGGAGCAGCCAACACCGGGGTTGAGCTGCTGCAGGCTTTCCTCGGTGATGCTGAGAAACTGAGCCACGGACGAGCATGTGTCCGCCTGTGGAAGCGGAAGGGAAGTGGAAAATGGTAGGGGAGGGGTTGAGAAGGAAAGCAGGGGCCAAAGGGGGTGAAGGAAGATGCAGCAACACAGTGGTAGTGGAACGCTAAGGTGCAAAAAGATCCGCGTGGCACATGGTGTTCCTGCTGCTGCTTGGGCGAAGGATGGTCAGGGCGAGCGTGAAGGGTGAAGAGAAATCACAGCACATGTCAGCACATGGTGGCACTGGTAACATCCTCGCTATCCAAACGTGATGCATGGGATGCTCCCATAGCAGATGCAACATGTGAGACTCACCGGCTGGACGTAGTAGAAGGCAGAGCAAGCTGGCAGCAGCTCTCGCACCACGAGCTCTCGACCCCGAGGAAGGAGAGCGGAGCAGTCGATACCCTGGAGGGAAGGGGCAGTGAGAGAGGGAGCGGGTGAGGGAGCGGGAGACAGTGGAGCAGAGGGAGAGAGAGAGAGGGTGAGGGAGGGAGAGGTGAGAGGCGGAGTTGAGTACAGAAACAATAATAAATCGAGTTGCTCAATTTAGGCACACAGGCTTGCAGGACTCACCTCATTCATGTCGGTGAACTGCTGCAGCGTGAGGCCATACATGGTGTACACGTCCTTGCACCTCCAGTTGCTGCCTGCGACTGTGATGGACGAAATGGCCTCCCAATTCTTATCTGCGCACGCTCAACAGGAAAGGTGAAGATGCCACGTACGTGATGCCGAGGAGAAAACACATTTGATCCGAGAAACCACACACCTCGAGTTTCAATGTCTCAACAAGTGTTTGCAGTATAGACTGTAGGGTGTTGTGAGCAGAGCAGAGGGAGAGCTTACCACAGTAGCGGCCATGAGAGCGGTGGTTGGGCAGACAGACGCAGGTCCTGTCCTCGCCGCCGCGGTCGATGCATGCGCCCCCCAAACACGGGTTGACTCTGTCGTAGCCACACACGCCCGCTGTCGGGGGATACACACAAGGAGCAGAGGATGGCAGGCACTGGAGTGGCAAGGAGGATACAATTGGGGGATCCGTGGGGCAGGAAAGGGCAGAGACGACGAGGAGCATTGGTGCTGCCAGTACTGAAGTGCTTTGATCAGGCAACGGTGCTTCCCAGGGGCACAAGCGATGCCTGCCCCAACACATGGCCCTCTCGTGTGGGAGCCAGATCGGTTTTGGCATGGCGAAAAACCGGATCGGGGCTTACTGCTTGAACTCTCTGCGTCGGGGTACTCAGAAGGAGCTGTGGTGACGCTGCCAGGAGCTGTTGTGTTGCTGCCAGGAGCTGTTGTGTTGCTGCCAGGAGCTGTTGTGTTGCTGCCAGGAGCTGTTGTGTTGCTGCCAGGAGCTGTGGTGTCGCTGCCAGCAGCTGTGGTGTCGCTGGCAGGAGCTGTTGTGTTGCTGGCAGGAGCTGTGGTTTCGCTGGCAGGAGCTGTTGTGTTGCTGGCAGGAGCTGTTGTGTTGCTGCCAGGAGCTGTTGTGTTGCTGCCAGGAGCTGTGGTGTCGCTGCCAGGAGCTGTGGTGTCGCTGGCAGGAGCTGTTGTGTTGCTGGCAGGAGCTGTGGTTTCGCTGGCAGAAGCTGTTGTGTTGCTGGCAGGAGCTGTTGTGTTGCTGCCAGGAGCTGTTGTGTTGCTGCCAGGAGCTGTGGTGTCGCTGCCAGGAGCTGTGGTGTCGCTGGCAGGAGCTGTTGTGTTGCTGGCAGGAGCTGTGGTGTCGCTGGCAGGAGCTGTTGTGTTGCTGGCAGGAGCTGTGGTTTCGCTGGCAGGAGCTGTGGTTTCGCTGGCAGGAACTGTGGTTTCGCTGGCAGGAGCTGTGGTTTCGCTGGCAGGAGCTGTGATGATGCTTTTGTGGGCGGCAGAAATGATGCAGCGGGCGGACTTGACTGCCTTGCGGAGGGGCTTGGACCTGGGCACGGGGAGCGCAGCATGAGTGCAAGGTCGGTGGTCAGGTGGGGGATGAAGGAACACGCCCGGCCCAGTACCTAGCCAGCGCCCGGCCCCGTACCTAGCCAGCGCCCGGCCCCGTACCTAGCCCGCGCCCGGCCCCATCCCTAGCCCGCGCCCGGCCCCGGCGGCCTCTTAGCCCCACTGTCACTGCTGCTCCTGCTACAGCTGCTACTGCTACTGCTACAGCTGCTACTACTGCTCCTACGTACTACACAGCTATGGCTTCGCTTCGTGTCCTTGCGTTTGATCATGAGGGTAGACCAGTTCAGTTTGACACGTGGCTTGACTACCTGCAGCTGTACCTACTGAGCGAATCTAAGGACAATGTCTCGCTTTTTGACCTAGCGTCAGGAGCTGCTACTGCCCCTCCCGCCACAGCCGACAGTTCTACTCGCTCACAGTGGCTTACTCGAGACGCTACTTCCCGCTTAGTCATTCGCAGCATAGAAGCAGATAGACGGAGAACGAAGGGGCTCACCTCTGCTTGCCTTGCGCGAGAGTGTCCACCGCCTTCCCCGTGCATCTGGAACGCTGGAAGAACTGAATCGCTGTGCAATCCGCCTTGCCTTCCTGCTGCCACAACACCTGCACGCTCCTCGTCCCGCCGCTGGCTGGAATGGCGACACAGCGGAGCGCGTTGAAGGCGAGAGAGCGGCCGCTGACCTTCATCCACGTGCCCACCACTTGGGGCTACCCGCTCGTCGCCTCTGCGACCGGCGCTCCATGCGACGGCTGCAGGCGACTCGCTGCAAGAATGGGAGCACGTGAGATGTGAGGGACAAGGGGCGGCCACGGGATGGCATAGTGTGTGCCGCGCGAGTGAGACTTGGGGCCATTCTCGTGTGCGGTGCATTGAACGTGTGAGCAGGATGACGATGCGAGCATGGTGCATGAGCGCATCATGAGCGCGCGGCATGATGCGGCTTACCAGCAATGACGGCAAAGACGGCGAGCAGCGCAAGCACGGCCTTGGCGGCCCCCATGCTGCTACTTTCAGCGGACGCACTGACTCTTCGACCTTGATTGGCCGCGCGAGTTGGAGCTGGTGGCTTGATGGTTGGGAGAGACAGCTCGGACGAGGATTGGTGGCGACTGTCGGACGGATCGAGTCGATATGGTGCGGCAAAACGATTACACAGGCGGCGCCGGAAATAGGTGATAGATTTACAGACACCGGAGGGCGTTTGGTAACTGGAACAACAGGTGAGGTGATGAGGACGTTTTTATAGGCGTCGCGACGACTGTCTTTGCATTCTGTGACAGCAGTTTCAATGTGACTCGCATAATGCGCGAGGCGGGACCTCTGTCACGGGAGAAGCGCGCCATCCTTGTCATGGGCGCGACGCCTTCTGCCGTGATCATCGCTGAGAAAGTCTAGCGGAGTGACGTGTTCCTGGTGTGGCGAAGACTCCGGCGGATTCTATGCTGTGGTCCATTCACGAGTGACGATTGGTTAGAGGGGATGAATCGCGTTATATGAAGGCAAATTGATTTTGTTTCCTCAAGGTTTATTCTGGTGTGCAATGGTCTGAAGCGGTGAAATCGAAAACCACTGTGAAAAGCGGTAATCGAACGCGTCACAAAAGACTTGCATTATTGAATGGAGATGTAACATGAAATTGGAAATACCGTATTATATATTCAAAAGCTAATGTTTCAATAACTGTTTCAATACTAATGAATCCCCTATTTCACTGGTTTGCAGGCATCACTACACTTGCAGTGACTATTGCGATCCTTTATTTTTCCCGTATTGCAGTGCGTAACCTCCTATTACAGTTATTGAATCTCCATGCGCTTACAACTCCAACTTTTGGAGTTCTAGGCTCGGTCCGATGACCTCGCCCTACGAACGTCCCTCGCGTCGCCTTCGGTTTCCCAACCGCGAACCTGCACCCAACCATGCGCGGTCCCGCGATCTCGGTCTAGCTAGCCTTCGCTATATCAGTGTTAGGTCTCATTATTTGCTGAGTTGTTGTGTTCACTTCCGCGTTATTGGATTCTGCGCACTCTTCTTCACCACAACTCATAACACTTGGTACAGAGCTACTGTCCTAGGTCACCCCCGCGTTCCCGAGGTAGTTTTTGTCAGTGGAGCGATAGACTTGGTGGGCTGCGAAGCGGTCGGCTGTGAAATAGATACGATTATTTCACTCCGACTACATTAGCGTTCGTGCCTTCATCCAAGTCATAAAAATAGCTAATCACCCCCTGCCTGTCCGACGAAGCTGCGAAATATTGACCAGGCGGTGTTGAACAAGTTTATGCGAAATAGGTTTGGACCAGGCAGACGATGTCTGTGAAGGTCGAGCGCCTGAGGGAGGAAAATGCAGAGCTACGCCAGGCGCGAGATGAAGCGCGCCAGGAGTCTCCCTACGTGGATGAAGCGAGTAGCAGCTCCACTGCAAAAAGGTGGATGAACGAGGTTGTTTTCAGTGAGCTGGAAGGCTCCATGGATGCTGCGGACGACAGGCGGGCATGGCAGCAACAGACGCAAACAGTGCCGAGACAGCTACTAGCGACAATGTCGGCGATGGATTTAGCAGCAACAACAATACCGGCGGCAGCGGCAATTTCTACAAATATCAAGATTAAACCAACGAGGTTTTCTTTGATGCTGCGCAAATTGCTGACTAAGCCACCCGCATTAATCACTATTACGGGGACCTGCGTTACAGTGGTGGCGACACACGCTGCAGTCACACGTTGCAGAACGGAACTAACGGTGGGCCCTAAACGAGTGGCCCTACGGATGGACCTGCTCTGAATGCCATGTCAAACATTTATCATATAGCTTATCTAGGCTATAGTGGGGTAGACACTAAGGGGTACAGTTTCCTAGGGTTTCCTACTTGTACCCAACCTTGTTCTAGTTCATCCATTCCTCTTTCTTCACATGGTATAGAGCGGGTTCCCTAGTGGGACCGTTTCTTCCTAGGGCCCACCATCGAATTTTTTTTTTTTTCCTGAACTGCCCGAAGCGCGCTTCGCGCTCTGCCTGCCCTACCCTTTCGCGGCCCCTTAGCGGCCTGCCCTGCCCCAAACGCCCGTTGCGGCCCCCTTTGCGGCCCCTTCGCGGCCCCTACACGGCCCCTTCGCGGCCCCTTAGCGGCCCCTTCGCGGCCCCGCCCCGTTGCGTGTCGCGGCCCCGCCCCGTCGCCGGCCGCGGCCCCGTCGTCGTCGCGGCCCCGTCGCCGTCGCGGCCCCGTCGCCCGTCGCGGCCTGCTGCCCTACTGCGGCCCCGCACTGCCTTCGGCGCGGCCCCGCCCCTTCGTCACGGCCCCGCCCCGCCCCTCCTTCAGCCGCGGCCTCCCAACTGCAGCAGCCGCCGGGGCGTGACCTGCAGCAGCCGCCGCCGCCGTCGCCGCCGCTGTCGCCGCTGACCCGGCCCTGCCCTGCAGCCGAGCCGCGGCCCTGCCCTGCAGCCGAGCCGCGGCCCTGCCCTGCCGCCCTGTTGCGGCCCCGACCCTGCCGGCGCACCACGGCCCTGCCGCACCAGTCGCGGCCTCCTACCCACCCGCCCCTGGTAAGCGCACTGCCAAGCCGCGCCGCTCTGCCGAGCCGCGCCGCCCTGCCGAGCCGCGCCGCTTAGCCGAGTCGTACTACTGCTGCTGCTGCTAGCCTCTTGCTACTGCTGTCATGGCTAGTCCCAATGTTCTTACCTTCGATGCTGAGGGTCGAGCGGTCGACTTTGAGGTCTGGGTCGATGATCTACAGCTTTTCCTACAGTGCGATAGCAAGGATGGCATCTCCCTGTTCGATCTCACGTCTGGTACCTCTGCTGCCCCTGCTGCTGATGCTGACAGTACTGTTCGCTCGCAGTGGACCACGCGCGATGCTGCTGCCCGCCTTGCTGTGCGTAGTCACCTGCCGTCCACTGAGCGCGCGCACTTTAGTCAGTACAAGAGTGCTAAGACTCTATACGATGCTGTAGTTGCACGCTACTCCTCCCCTGCCACTGCTGCCCTTAGTCGCCTCATGCTGCCGTACCTGTTCCCTGACCTCGCCGCCTTTGCCACAGTCGCTGACCTCATTACGCACCTCCGCACTAGTGACCCCCGCTACCGCGCTGCGCTTCCTGCCGAGTTCTGCTCCAAGAACCCCCCCCCCCATGTACATCACTCTCTACTACCTAGTCACCCGGCTCCCTGACTCCCTTCGCTCGGTCAGGGACCACTTCCTCTCTGTTTGCCCCACCACACTCACCATTGACCTCCTCGAGGAGCGCCTCCTTGCAGCTGAGAAGAGTATAGTCGCTGTAGGAGCCTCTCGTGGTGACCCTCGTGCCCCTTTCTTTGAGGGGTGCTCCCCCGTCCCCCATTTGCCCTTTGTTGCCTCTGCTGCTGCTGTCGACCTCGTTGGCACCGAGTCGGTCGGCGCTGCGTCTGCTCTGCGGAGATAACTACTACAACGGGAGCTAGACTACGGGCTAGGCACGGGTGCTTGTGTGATCTCTGCGTTCGTTGGTCCTTAGTCGTTTTCCTAGTGCACACACAGCTTGCTAGTTCACAGGGAGAATTGGCAAGAGTTTCACAAGAGAAAGTTGACAACAATGGTACAATGAAGTTGGCATGGCAAGACTACATTAGAGCTAGCATTGAGGTCGGTCGACTGCGAGCACAGCATGGTCGACCGCGTTCCACCACGACTTGGTCGAACGCGCTCCAGCAGTGCAAAGTCGACAGCGTGCCAACGCTGCAGGTTGACGGCGTGCCAGCGTTGCTCCCGTAGAACAGCAGCGCACCTACTTCGCAGGTGCTCGTTGATGATTGGAGGGCTAATCCTCGTCACCTGAACAGCGCACGCACCAACTCATCTTCGTGCTGACGGCTCCACCTGATCCGCCACGTCGACCTCGGGATACCACCACCGAGGTCGGACTCGCCAACTTCGCCTGGGCGACCGTCGCACTCCTTCGCAGAACCTCGTCACCCAGGTATCCTGGTCGACCGGGCAACCATGTCGACCAGCTGCTCCTGTATGTGCTCGTCGACCTCCCAAGTCGACGACCACACCAAGTCGACCTCACCAGGTCGACCACTCCTCTGGTCGACCAGCTCCACGTCGACCAGTGTAGTTGTCAGCCGACCACCCAAGTCGGCTACCCAAAGTCGGCGTCACCAAGTTGACGCCCCTTCTACGTCGGCGCCGACTTCCAGACTGACCTCTTGAAGTCGGCGACCTCCCAAGTCGGCGACCTTGCAAGTCGGTGACCTGGCAAGTCGGCGCCGACTTCCGGGTCAACGTGCCACATCGCCGACCACCAGTTGAAGTCGGCCGCCGGCTTCCCAAGTCGGCGGCATTGCAGTGGCCCCGTGCAAGTCGACCAACCCCGTCGACCAGCTCGCCCAAGTCGGCGTCGCCCACTACTGCAAGTCGGCTGTACCTTCCGTACACCCCACCACGAAGTCAGCTCCGCCCAAGCGTGGACGGGGCCAACACACAACTCCCGTTGACACTCCCCTGCCGCGTTCACGCTTGGCCCCCCCCCCAAGTCCACTCGGCAGTACTCCTCGGAGAATAGCTCGTCGACGTGCACCCAACACACAGCAAGTCGTCCACCGCACCAGCCATGCAAGAGGGCATGGCACCTACTGCTGCACGTCGTCATCTTCGTCACCCACGTCGGCCAAGCGCACCTGGCCGATGGCGACGGAGCACCGGTTGAAGGCCGGATAGTGCAGCGCCTTCGTCAGAAAGTCGGCCGGCTGCTCAGCGGTCGGGATGTACTGCAGCGAGAACTTCC